TCTTGTTTTAAAATTTCGATTGTATGAAGGAGAACTAGGAAACAAGCAAGTGCATTCATTGCTACGTTACATCAACAAATCGGGGTGCGCAATAGACATACCTCCATGTGGTGTAGCCTGGGTAACGTATACTTATGCGGCAAAAAAGTCTACTGATCGACAGTTGACTTCTGACTTCAAACTACTATGGCCCGACTATTTGTCATATTCGACCCCTACCCTTTTATGCCTTTGTGTCTGTCTGTCTGTCTCTTTTACCTCTGTGCATCACTCTTCTGTTCCCCCCACTCGACTTTTAGTCACTTTGATGTTCCTTCTCCTCTCTCTGTGAAGCCCCGAAGATAGCTCCAGGGCTAATGATAACTATCAAAACGCCTGCCATTTGATATAAATAAATAAATAAACACCAAAAAATTGACTCGCATTTCATCTAAACTACATCCAAAAAAAGAATACGCGCGAAAATGCTGTCAATGGTTTCCCAAAAAAAGAGAAAGCAATGGTTCAGAACTACCGATGAGATTGCCTGGACTCAGACAAGGACTTGCAATGCTCGATTTCCAGTCACTTCAAGACAAAAGCAACCGAAACAGCAAACAAAGAAGTCATTCTCAACATCGGCATTAGATTCAATGTGAAAGGTAAAAAAGTAACTCAAGGAAATGTAAAATAAAGGAGATAAATTTCACAAACGAGGGACCATTCATATATTCTATGGATTTGGAAGGTTATTTCCAAAACGCGATTACACTGAAAACTATTCCGGTAACTTTAAACAAAAACGAATCTAACACATATTAATCATTCGAAAAGAAGAAGGATAGAGGAGAGAACGCAACTTACCCTCAGAAATATTGATGTGTCCGCTCTTCTGAGCTGCTTCAAAAGGATCCTCCATTTCTAAATTTAAATATTTCAAATGCAAAAAATAAAATTAATCAAATCCACTTGGAAGGAGAGAACCAAAAAGGGCAGAATGAGTGGAAATCCTGATAAGAGACATTTATGTGAAATTGTAAAATATGCAGAATGGGAATACAAATCAGATATAAGTTGAGGAAAAAAAGAGCAAAAAGAAAGAAAGGAGTTCAGTGTTTTGGTGACGCCTTCGGTTGGTGGTGGCGGTCGGCAGGGCGACATCGAGTTGGTGTTGTTGTTGTTGTTGTAGCACGAAGTTCCCGGTAGCCCTGACCAGGAGAACTTTTGCACATCAATGCGAGGCATATGGTGAGTATCAATATCAAGAGGAAGCCGATTATATACATGAGACGAACCGAGATTAACCAGATTTCTTCCTAAAATAAAACGAGTTGAGGGTGTTGAAATATTTACAGAGGGGTCTGAATTGGCAAAGAGTTCCAAACAGATTAAAGAGCAGAGCTTTTCAAGAATGAGGCAGTTTATTAAGAGAACATTTCGAGGATGGGGTGCGCGATAGACCTACCTTCATGTGGTACACTCTGGGCAACGTATACTCATACGGCAAAAAGTCTATTAACCGGAAGTTGACTTCAAACTACCAGTACTCGTCTCAACTTACCTTTTTCTCTACCTTTGTGTTTGTCTATCACTTTTACATCCGTGAATCACAGTTCTGTTCCCCCTCTCGACTTTTTGTGACTAAAGGGATAATGATAAATATGATAAAGCCAGTCCTTTTTAAAAAATATTGGCTATAAAAATTTAACAGCAGGACGAACAGCTTTTAATTTCCACTACATTGAAGAGCTCTGTCAAAATTTATGATTACCTCTTCTGCACTGTTGCAATCACTTACACTTTCCAACTGTTATATCTAGTTCAAGAAGCTATAACAAAAGGTGGTTCACCCTATTTCATTGAGCATTCTTGAGCTTGGAATTACTTTATAAAAGCATAAAAAATGAGTGATTGCGTGATCAATTTCTTATGTACACGCTCGCTCTAACCGACATGATTTTTAAACTCAATCTGAGTAATTTATGTCCCTACTAGAAAATTGACCATATCTCCCCTATCTCTAAACGGTTTCATTTATAAGTGGAGCAGTGGATAATACCATTCCTGAGTTTTACGAATCCTAACTATTATGTCAAAAAGGGGTTTGAAAATTAACAATGGGGAGAGACTAAGAGAGGGTTTAAATGTGAATCTGCAATTTGTGAAAAGAGAAAGGAGCAAAATACAGCAAAATCTTAGCCAATGCTATTCTGGTCGATGTCACACCTCTTCTCAATTTCGTTGAAAAATCTTAGCAAGCAGATTAAAGGTGAGAAGCTGAGAAACAGGATACAAATAGCAAGTCTTTAAGCTCGTGAAAAAGTGTTTAAAGCCAATTGATCCAGGTATGATTAACCAAAAGGAAGATATCCACGCATTTAAATGGTGCCATGAAACAGTTGAATGCGGCTGAGAATACGCAACATAGATACGAATCATTAACAAGTGTTCGATTGCATATTACATTAATTAGACCATCGTGAAATTTGGAGTAAGAGATTACGTTTTGAAGCAAATTGACAATGTCGAAAAAGTTTGAGTGACAAGAAATCCATAAAATATCGAGGTAGGCTTTTGGTTACAGTAATTCCAACTTACTGTTGAAAGGGTTGGCATAAGAGGCGTTTCTCCATAGAGTTTGGGTTCCCAAGTGATATGCCCTCGACATCTTTGCCGATCAACCAAATGAAATTTCTTCTGCCACATTAAACGAGCAGAGCTATTCGCTCGAAGGTACTCTAATTGTTTCGCAGTGCAGGGCTCGTGATCACTAGAAAATACAGAGATGATAATTAGAAACATAATCCCACAAACACTTACTGAAAATGAGGAAAGAGTTTTGTCGGCGCTGCAAGTGAGAGACAGCTATCAAAGCTGTGTTTTACGCAGTGCTTACCATTGCAAGGTGGGTCGTTTGGATCGAAATCAGGGACCAAAAGAGAGACATTTATTTTCTCAAAGGCATCACTGCCAGTAAACCCAAGATGACTCCCTCGCATTTGAGCAAAAAGTGGTTTGCTTTTGGAACTAACAGGTTTATAGGTATATATAATACCAAGACGAACATTTCGAGAGAAAACAACGTCAGATTTTGAGCTGTCGAGATTGAGTAAAAATGCATCAGTGAGTTGGAATTGTCTTGTTGAACTTGTCCATGGTTCACTGCAGAATTCAAGTTCAGAAAATGTGTGCAGCATTTTAGCCGAATTCTAGAGATTTTCGGTCTATAGGGAAATTAGCAGAATTACGGTTTTAACGTCAGGATCGGGAATTGAGTCCGCTGCTTGAAACTTGATAAGCGAACCAGTAAGAAGTGCTACACACAGAACTAATACACAGAGAAACAAAAATATTGGCGGTCTTGACCATATTTTTTGGCAAGATGAGTACATCTGGAAAAAAATTCAATGAAATAGCCAACAAAAATTGATTTGAAAAGTATAATCAAGAGAAAAATTGATCGATAATTATATTTTACAGCCTAACACCAGTACATTATGTACAACGTAATCGGAGAATCTACTTAAAGTTAGTCACGAGTAGAATTAAGTTGATGAATTCGACGATAACAGCTCAAAGTCACAATAAAACCATTTGATTTCTCTTCAGTGTTAACAAGAACAGTGCGTTTGCCAAAGATTTTGCCGTCAACTTCACGAATTACCAAATCCAAAATGTCATATTGTTTGACCTTCTGGCTCTTCTTAAGGAGTACCTCATTATTGAGTCGAAATAATTGGTCATAAAAAGCCTTCTCAAAGTCTAGCTGAGATATATTCAAACCCTTACGGATGATTTTATCAAATCGTATGGACGAAACGTGTGTTGTAATTAATTTTCCAGAGGAATAATCAATAGACTCAGAAGTAGAAAACGAATTGGCAGAGAAGACCAAAGAGGGACCATTCGTCCTTCCATACTGATAATTTTTCAATTTTGAACTCGTTTCAAGTAATACATTTGAGGTGAAGGACCGTTCAAACTTAGTAAGAAAGGGGAGTGAAGGTGGAAATCGTACTAAGAGCTGCAACATACGCAAAGAACAGCGAACAAACTCCACCCCATAGGGCAAAATATCTTAACCTCAATTGGTCCACTTTTAGAGCTAAAACCAAGGTCTAACTAGCAATATCATTAGAGTCATTGCATATTTATAAATAAAACAATATTCATTAGGTTATACCAAATCTCATTAGTTTTATAGTTTTTGGTTAAATTTTTTATCCCAATAAACTATTTCATGATTTGTTATATCCATGAATGTATTATTTTTAGTAGAAATATAGAGCATTCAGCTAAATGTTTTTTCGAAAACATAACAATAAATTAACAAGCCGAGTGCAAAAAATCATAACACAATTGAAAAGATATATTCGAAATTAAATATCCTATTCAGTAAATAAAATAGTGTTTCAGCCAATTTATCACCACCTCGAATAAACTTCATACAAGTGAGTTAATTGAAAATCATAATACGTTTTAATATTTGCGCAGAAAAATTACCCATAATATCTCTACAAAACACATGATGAATATGGCCCAATGTCAGAAAATTTAAAAAATAAATCATTGATTTTGACACTCATGATATTCTATAAGGGTAAATATTTTAATTTAAACTGTCAACAAATTTGTGTTTAGAACATCCTCTGTTTAACCGCTGACGACAATTTCGCTACAATGAATATTCGCAACGCGAGAGTAATATGCTACATTTATTAATAGTTATTCGCTTTAGCCTGATGATCTCCTTAATATGCGGGATTGCAATTTAGATTGCTTACCAGAAAATTATGTTATGAAATATTACTTTTATCACGGACTTTCATGGCCTCAGCTTTCCTTCATTGCCGAAGAAGCTGACGGAGAAATTGTAGGCTATGTATTGGCTAAAATGTATGGATGTTGCATTAATTATAGTTATTTTTAAGGGAAGAGGATCCAGATGATTTGCCCTATGGTCATATTACGTCCCTTGCGGTGAAGCGTTCGTATCGTCGTTTGGGACTGGCAAGAACTTTGATGAACTTAGCTTCGCGTGCAATGGTTGAGAATTTCCAGGCTAGATATGTTTCTTTGCATGTCCGCAAGAGCAACCGAGCTGCTCTTAATTTGTACACCAGAAATCTTGGATTCCAGTTAGTCTCAATTTCGGGGGTATTTCTTGTTTCTTAGAGCTTTTGATATTGAACCAAAGTACTATGCCGATGGTGAGGATGCTTATGCGATGAAGAAGGATTTGCGATCCTTCTGGGAGAAGGTATGATTATTTATTATCACTATTGCTATCATAATTTTAGTATGGCCCAGTTGATGTTCCTTTCAAAGCCGTCAAGGAAAAGAACAAGTCGAGCCAGAGCTGATAAAAAATGTTGAATGATTGATTTGTTTTGTTTGAGCATAAAATTTGTACAGAATTGGACTTAATTAAATAAAAATACTAAATGCTAGAAAAGGTGGATTAAAAATTCTTTATAAAATCTTTTACTCCATGTTACGCTGATCTATTACATTGTTGTCCAAACTGAGACATTCGTTACTGGAATCTTATTTTTCAAGCTTCGATAATTAACCTTCGAGCTTTAGTGGATTTTATTATCCTTTGGATAAGTCCTCGTTCAATAACATAACTTTACTGTTTCTAGAATGGTAATGGACTGAGTGTGAATCAAGGTTCTGTTGTATATTATTAAAAAAGTGATTAGGGCGGCTGTCTGATGTCTATTATCAATAGGTAAGAATAAAGGGGTATGAGACAACTTGCCTCGTGACTTGTCCTATTTTTCCATTCATTTCGAATTTCTTAGGCTATCTAAAAGGTGTTGACAAGTCTTTGTGAATATGTGCTAACCTGTCATTCAAGCGTTTGGGCATTAGTTGGACAGCTCTGAAATAATATCTTAATCAGGGGGGGGGGAATATGACAGAGGGATCTACCGTTTCCTTGTCTTTGCCGTCGATAATCGTTTCACCGGGTAGTCTAAGAGTTGTACGGGCATCCAAGGCCTTCCTTGATTAAAGATTGTAGTTGATCATGCAGGAAATTTCATAAACCTCAATCTTTTTTCGTGGCACTAATAATAATCGACAGAAGGGTGAATTCAGGATAATATTAGAGTACAGCACGGTGATGACTTTTAGTCTTGCGCGATCTAATTGTCACGTTAGCATGACGGACTATTATAACGATTCCGTGGAAATAAATACTTAAAGACCAGAAGATATTTCAAGCCGTTTCTAACACCAATTATCTGAAAGTTGAAGATAACGAGACAGTCGTTCCTCTTGGTTTATCTTTAGTTATCTATCATTTATTTATATCAAATTGCAGGCATTTTGATAGTTATCA